GACCTGACATCTCGTATGCCGTGGCACGCTGTGGGCAACAGGCGACGAAGAATCCTTCGTTGGTCAATGATCTGGGGAGGCAAACGTTAGGGTACTTGAAGACAACGATCGATGTGGTGATGGAGATTCCATTCTCAGTTGGCAGCCCTTTTGCAGAGCATGGATGGTTGTCAATCCCCCGCACCGACGAGGTTATCGAATTGTACACTGACGCTTCACACAGCCCTGGAGGAGAGCGATCAGTACAGGCGTTGGTCGTCGCGTGGCGCGGCGTACCAATTGCCTGGGAGAGCACCAGGCAACCGTTCGTAACACTTAGCTCTGCAGAGGCAGAGCTGGTGTGTATGCTACACGGCGTCCAGGTCGCCGAATCGATCCAACCACTCTTGGAAGAACTCCTAGAGGCCGACACGGTTGTCGCCCTTCTGGGCGACAACGAAGCAGCTATCAAATCCTTCCAATCGTCGGCGAGCGGCTGGCGTAACCGCCACTTAAAGATGAGGGCTTCGGCTGGCCGCGAGAGGGTGGAAGCCAACCTTTTGCGTGTCAGCCATTTACCAGGTGTATGGCAGGTCGCGGACCTTTTAACAAAACCGCTCCCGAAGTCCAGGATTTTCCACCTCTTAGAACTGATCAATATCCGTGTTCCTACTGCAAGTACGGAGGCCGTTCAGGCAGCAAGGGTTTTGAGCAGAGTGTCCTGGGGTTCGGAGCTTGAAGGGATGATTACTGCGGAGGCGGTAGCCGGGTTGGCGCTTTTAACTTTGGTTCCCACGGCGGCAGGGCAGCCCAACGGGCTTGTGGGGGAGCAAGTTTGGGATCTGTGTCAATGGTTGTTTGGGGTGCTACTGGTTATAATTTGCGTAGTCATAGGCGGTTTCGGGCTCTCGGTCTTGGGTGTAAGTGGGTGGTACCCGGGGTGTTGGTTAGGCGCTCATGATGCTGAGTCTGTAGTCTCTGGACTGGGCAACCTAGGGTCCTTGTCGGAACCGGGGGTAGCCGATGATGTTGTTGACGAGCTTGAGGTGTTAGAGTCCGAGACTGGGGTTGAGGCATCGGAAGACGAGGCTTCAGAGAAGGACCAGCCGGGCGAAACTCATGGGGCTTCCACTCAAGGGTCTGATGAGGAGTTTGATTCGGTTGAATGGAGCCGGACCCAGGAGAAACTGATTGCGATTGAACGGAGTACCGGGCTTACCTTTGTACAACGGGCGAGGCTCAGGAAACAGTTAGCACAAGGTGACCTGGTAGACCCACCGGTCTTCCAGCAGCGGTATGGGACCCTCCCTGAGTGGCTTAGTGGAGTGAGTATGCCGTTTCCTAGCCCCTCAACATCGGAGAAGTTGGCGTCTTTCTTTGCGGTGATGTGTCGGGTAGTTACCAGCTTTCTGGGAGTACCGGGTGTAGAGTGGGGCAGGCTTCGAGGAGTTTGCCGCCGACTTAGGGATTCCGCTGTGATCACTCTTACTGCGAGGCTGAGGGGTGCTGGTGTAGAGGCTGTGACGAACACCGGACAAGCTGTCGTAGCTGCGCGGGTGAATGCTTTGTCTGTGCCGCAGATTGGGATCCAGCAGGGCTCTGAGGAAGTTCCGAGCAGTTCCAACGCTGGTAACGGTGCTAGGTTCTCGAGTGATGGGTTTGAGGTTAGTGCCAGGGTTGTAAGTGAGGAAGGTTTAGGATCTTCGTGTAGTGCAGCCATGTCTCTGGAGTCAGATCGTGAATCTGGTGGTTCGGAAGAGTCTGAGCCGAGCCAAGGTGAGCTTGGTTCCCCTGGGGTTTTACATGGGATTGGAACTAGGCCTGAGGTTGGGGCGATTCCGGTTCCGAATGTTCAGATCGGGGGGAGCAGTGGCAGCCATGCTATGCAGGCTATTCCGCCAGCTGGGGTTGTGTACGAAGATTACTTAGATGAGCCTCCCGAGGTATCCCAGTTTCCGATTGTTGGGTCCTGGCTTCCATTGCATTACTTAGTCCAGCTTTTATCGGTACAGGGGCCTCGTATTCTGTGGTTTTTAGGGCATAGGTCACCAGATTGGTTGTTGCTTAGGGCTGCGTCTGCATATTTTAAGTTTGCGGTAGCTGCGTCAGTTGCCGAAGTGTTGAGGCTTAGCTCCTTAGCACTCTTTTTTCAAGGTCCCCAGTGGCTGTCTAACACCGAGGTTTATATGATCACTGGAAGGGTTGACCAGGGCTTAGATGGGGCACTGGCAATTGCAGCTGAGCAGACTGGTGTGCCGGCGAGCTCTGAAACTGTAGGGGTTCCAGAGGGAGCTGTAGGTTCCGATGATAGGCAGTTCGATGCTGCCTTCGCCTACGTACAGGCTGAGGAATCTCAGGGTTCAGCCGGCAGTGAAGAGATTGATGAAAGGCCTCACCGGGATCCGAGGCCCCCTGCAGGACCTTTTGTGCGACAAGTTTTTAGGGCGGAAGAGTCTGCCTCGGAGGAAGATTCTTCTTCTACCCAGGAACCTTCTATTGTAGATCAGAGCTCGTCCACGAGCTCTGTTGAATGTGCTGTCGTAGACGCTGGCGCAAATGAAGCATCTATTGCAGTGCAAGCAGGGGTTGGAGGTCCCTGTTACCAAGCCGCCGAAGGGGCTTTGATAGTAGTGTACGGGGATGATCGATTAGTTGTTCCTCTTCAGGGGTGGACGGTTGAGGATGTTGCTAGCATCGTAGAAGGCTTTGAAACTGGAGATTGGAGCCTGTATCAGCAGCGAGTGCGCGGTCCCCTGGAAGTCGTAGCTAGTTCCGACGGAGATGTTAGTGAGGAGACTGGAGGTCTCCCTAGGTTCTCTCTTGAGGATGGGGCTGTAAATGCCCCGCAGCGACGACTCTTGCGCCTTCGGAGTGCTCGGGCGGTAGGAAGGGCCATTCGTTTCGGGGTTTGTGTAGCGGTGATTTTGTGGGTCCTTGTGTATGGCTTTAGGGGTGTTCGAGCTGTCGATGTCGGTTGGGATGCCTGCGAAGCTGAGTTTTGTCCAGGCCTCGTCAGTCAGGCCTTACAGGTACGCTCCGAGATTCCAGAGGAGGTGAGCCTGGGTTGCGGTTGTGATGGATCTACGCTTTGGTGGATTCTTCAGGGAAGCCTGATAATCGTTGCCTGGGAAATCATGCGTTGCACCTGTGCTACCTGTAAAGGAAGGCGCAGGATTACTCGAGAAGCCAGCAGCCAAACTCCTCAGAGTTCGATAATCCCGATGCCGTTGAAAGAGGACGTACCCCATCGGGGTCGAATCCTATTTTGCCTTTGGCGGGCTGGCTTTAAGCTAGATGTAGAGGAATACCCCGAAAGGATTCAGTCTGAGCTCCATAGTTTGATAGGCTCTTACCTAACTCGTGTTGAGGAAGGGCATGTTACCAGTTCGGGCTCCGATTGAATCCTGTAAGATGTAGGGGCGCAGATTCTTCATGTTGCCAAGAGGACAGCTTGAGTTTTGGGATGCTGTCTTCCGCCAATTGGGTGGATTGACGACAGCTGAGTAGGGAACACCGGGTAAGATAGGGTTTGTTCCCCCAACCAGTAGCGTTGGGTCTTTTAGAGTCCTTACTCGCTAAGTGAGTCGGTAGGATTTGGAGCGAATCAACCCTGTGTTTCGTGATAGTGCTTAAAAAAGGGATGCCAAGGACTCGATCAGAATTCCCCTTTTAGAGGGAAGCTTCCTGATGGGAGCGATCGGAATGGAGTCCGGTGCTTAGATGCTTGGCTTTTGTCCCGAAGGTTCAGGCTGAAGTCACAGGATGCGGGATACAGCTGGGGTCACCGTGGTATTGCATACTTTGCATTGCGCTTGTTTTCCGGAAGGGTTATCTCAATCCCCCCTTCTTTGTAAGTCGGGGGGAGGGGGAGTGCGTGAAACCAGTGATCCCTGAGTACAGATACCGACATTCTGACGACCACAGGCTGTTTTGGCTGTAAGGAAAAGGATCTGGAGGCCCATTCGGTGGGGTTTCTTTCATTCGTAAGCCGGTAAACTTTCTTGAAATTATCGGGTTCACATCATTCGGATTCTATACTTCACGCACTAGGCCCTAAACCCTAAAGCCCAAACCCAGGCCCTAAACCTTAAAGCCCAAAACTCTAGGCCCTAAACCCTAAAGCCCAAACCCTAGGCCCTGAACCCTGAAGCCCGAACCCTGTGAACACCTGTTTCTGGCGAAAAGTGGCTGAACACCGGTCCCCGGCGAAAAGTGGCGAAAAGTTGCCGAACATTTAGGCGAAAGCTGGCTGAACATTGGTCCGATTTGGCGAAAACTGGCTGAACATTGGTCGGATTTTGGCGAAAACTGGCTGAACACCGGTCTGATTTGGCGAAAACTGCTGAACACGGGGGGAATTTTGGCGAAAGTGAATGAGGGTTTACAAATACATTTGAAAGAGAGGGTTTAGGGTTCAGGGTTTAGGCTCCAATATGTTGAAGCCTCAAACCAACAAATGAAGCTTTATAGCTTACAGAAGTGGCCCTCAAACCAAGAAGCCCTGGGCTCTAAATCACAAAACGTACAAGCCCTGAAAGCCTAAACGCCAAGCTTTTTCTAAGCCTCAAACCCTCTGAACCGCATAAGCCCTCTGACCACAAAGACGCCTCCAAGTCCCAAACAGAAACCGTGCAAAATCCCTACGGGAATCAGCCCCAAAAGCCCAAAAACCTTTGAAGGACACCCGGACCCGTGCTCTTCGGAAACCTTATAGTAACCGCAATAGACCCCTTGAAAAAAAATATTCCAATTATGAAGGCCCTTATATTATAGTACCCTTATAGTAGCCCTCATAGACCCCTTGAAAGGAACCCTACTCCAATCATGAAGGCCCCTGTATTATAGTACCCTTATTGTAATCCTAAAACCTTAAAACCCTTGACCTAAACCCTATACCCTTATAGTATCCCTATAGATCCCTTCAAAGGGGACCTTTAAAGGAAATCCCTATAGATCCCTTTAAAGGGACCTTTAAAGGAACCACACGACCGGACCCGTGTCGGAAACGAAGCCCCCGGGTCCGACTTCCGCGGACTTCTGGAGCCAGTTTCGTCCGAGAGGAGCTCTTGGAGCCCTGGTGGAGCCGGGTAGCTACAGGGCTCCTTTAAAGGTCCCTTGAAAGGGATCTACAGGGTTCCTTTAAAGGCCCCTTTAAAGGGATCTATAGCGTTCCTAAAAGGCCCCTTAGGGGTTTAGGGTTTAGGGTTTAGGGTAGTTATAGGGTTCCTTTAAAGGCCCCTTAGGGCTTAGGGTTTAGAGCTTCGGGTTTAGGGTTGTTCTAGGGTTCCTTCAAAGGTCCTTTTTAAGGGATGTATAGGGATCCTCTCAAGGTATAGGGCGTAGGGTTTACTTGGAGGTTCATGGGTAGTTCTAAGCGGGGTTAGAAGTAAGGTAACTATAGTTATAACTCCTATTAGGGGACTTATAACCCTATCATATTTACCCATGAACCTCCAAGTAGAGTTTAGGGGTCTGAGATCTATGGTTTTGCAGGGCTTAGGGCTTAGAGGGTTGTAAGGTTTAGGGTAAAAAGGCTTGTGGGGTTTAGGGCTTGGGGCTTATGGATTTGTAGGGTTTCGGGTTTCGGGTTAAAGTATATAGGGCTGTAAGGTTAGAGCTCTGGGTTTATGATGTTGCAGAGATTGTAGGGCTTAGATGGCTGTTGGGTTTAGGGTTTTTCGGGTTGCAAGGTTTAGGGCTTAGGGTTTGTAGGGTTGCCGGTTTGTAGGGACCAGGGTTTATAGGGTTGCAGCATTTGGGGCTTAGGATTTAGAGTCTAGGACGCTTTCCGTTGGCCGTCTGTGCCCTTGAAGTCTTGAACCGCAAATCCTCAGCTGAATCCAGCCCGAAGGCCAGAAAAGCTTGCTTTCAGCGCGGGCAGAAAGGAATTACAGAACATCCACGGCCGTCTCTGCCGTGACCAATCCAGACGAATCCTTCGCTCTGGAGCCGTAACCATGAAGCATTGCAGCGGAAGGTGGCTGTTCCCCACGCCAAGATCCATCCCAAGACTTCCTCATCATAACAGATCCATCCCAAGACTTCCTTACTATAACTATAGTACAATATATGCCCCAAACCCCATTCTAAAGATTAAGGCCCCTATATCATAGAACCCTACTATAGGTCCCTTATAGACCCCTTTAAGGATCCCTTTAAAGGGAACCCTAAGCTCCCCTGGCTTAAGGAGTCTTACGGCTTCTCGGGTCCAGCAATGGGCGCACCCGTGCGGGCGCTTTGGATCGAAGTAAACGGTCCCTTTAAGGGGATCTATAGGGATACTATAAGGGTAGAGGGTTTAGGATTCTACTTGGAGGTTCATGGGTAGTTATAAGTGGGGTTACAAGTGGCGTAACTGTAGTTATAACTCTTATTAGGGGCCTTATAACCCTACTTACAACCACCCATGAACCTCCAAGTACAATACTATAAGAACCCTGAGCTCTGAACGGAACCCTGTGAACTACTCAGACTTTGATGTTCGAAGCTGCCTTTCTTCTCCTCGTTGTAGATCATGGAGCCCCCTTTCCGCTGGCGAATCTTCGATCGCATACCTCCGTGTTGAGGGCTCCGAGAGCTTCGGGGCTACTACTACCATCACTACCATGATGATGATGATGATTATGATGGCGACGATGACGATCATAATGATGATAATGCTTCATTTCGATATAAGTAATACTAACCATCATATGTGGGTTCTTCCCAAGGGGGAGGACTCGCTCTTGCCACTTTTGGAGTTAGGAGTTGAGGCTGCCAAGCTTGGGCGTTTGATGCGTCAGGCTTTTACACAAGCTGAGGAAGGTTGGAGGATGTCGGGGTTTAGCGGTTTGGGTACGGCATTTCGGGGTTTTTGATACTTCTGCCACCCCCAAGCCCTGCCTTGTTGGCAGGGCTATCACTCCAGTCACCCCTCACTGGGAGCCGAGGCTTGGGAGGATGAGGAGTTAATGAGTAGAATAGGGTTCCTCGAAGGGTCCCTGTAAAACCTTAACCATTAGAGTAGGGTTCCTATAAGGGTTCCTTTCAAAGGGTCTTATAAGGGCTACTATAGGGGTACTATAAAGTAGCACCGTACCCTCGGGGTCCCTCTGGGCTCGCTTTCGGGTTTAGGGTTTTGGGTGTAAGGTCTGGGGTTTAGGGACGGTTTAGGAATTTGGGTATATTTCAATATTCTGACATATTCCAAAACCCTCTTGAAAAAGCTTTCGGGAGCCCCAAAGAAATCCTGAAACCCACTTGCAAAAAGAACTATAGGCATGTGAAGAAGCAGGGGAACAAGACAAGCAATCATGATTCTGTGTGCCCAAGAAGAGAACTACGAACGACAGTAGTTTTAGCACCAACAACTATATTAATAAATGATGATATACGAGTGGTCAGTGGTAAGTAAGCGCATGGTAATAACACTAACAATACAACCCTGAAACCCTTCCGACAATGCAAACACCCCGCCTACTTTAGAACCCATGGTGGATCCCTTGAAGGAACCTTGAAAAGCCTAAACCCTAAACCCCGTAGCGATATAATCTCACCCAGCTGCCATAAACGTCCTTCCTAAGCCCAAGGCCCCCCCAGAGCCCCCCCACCAGCCGCCTACTTTCGTGTCCTGCGGCAGATTCGCCAAGTCCTTGGTGCCGGACTTCTCGCCTCTTCCGCGCATCATGTCCTGCTTTCCCCTAGGGGCGTAGGCCTTTAGAGTTCTAGAAGGCATGCATAAAGGTTCGAGAAAGGTCCTGCAAGGATTAGATTTTGGCTTCAGGGTCTTAGAGCGCAGGGTTTTGTACTGCGTTTTGGGCTGTAGGATTTCTGGGCTCGAATCGGATTGAAGAGTTTAGGGATTGGATGGGGATGAAGGAGATGGTACTCGTCAACACCAAAATCTTGTAAGTGCCCACAAATGATGGCCATACTGGCTAGTACGCTACAACGGGATAATTACACACGAAGACACAGAAACCCTGTAAAGACGGCTATGACAAGGCTATGACGGTGGCACCAGTCACAAGAAGTCAGGAAGAGGAAGAAGACGTCCTGACACGTAAAAGAAGTGAGCACATCTGCCGCACCAACGAGTCGGCTCAGGAGTGTTCTTACACGCAGGGAGACGCAGCATTGGGGTGCTATAGTTATGCAATTATGCAGATGGTGTGGTTTCGTGCTGCATTATTTCGGCTGGCTAAGTCTTCTGCATCCTACAGCCGCCATCAGGTGATCGCCAGCCCGACCCCCCGCAGTGTCTCCTGCAAGTAGGCCGCCTTCCTCGGTTGCCAGCATACTATAGGCAGGGTCAGGGGCCTTAATAACTAATTCGAAGAGGGTTTTGTGGTATAGTATACTATACTATAGTATACTATAATTACAATAAGGAACCCCCAAAATAGCATTCTGATTCTGATTCGCGGACCGTCGTGCCTAAAGAGGCGCGTCCCAAAACTTGCAAGAGTGAAACGAAAAGCTCAACTACTGGGCCGCCTCATCCAGAAATCCAGACCGGACACCCGTGGACCTTCAACCGAGACAGACTCCGTGAAATCCAGGACGAGCCGGACACTGTCCGGAGAGGGGCGGTAGGAGCGAAAGAGGTCAAGGGTGACCTCTTCATCGGGCAAATCCAGAAACCTGTCTGTGTACAGGGGAAGCCGGGGTCCCTGGACTGGCAGAACAGGTCGGGCCGCTGTGAAGCGCTTCCAGTGGCCCTTGTGGACTGCACGTCTCCAAGCCTTGTCTTCACGCTCAACGTCCGCAACCTGCTGGGCCGTCAGCAGGGGCAAAACATGGACCGTACGCAACATACAGGCGGGAGAATGTTTCAAATGGCCCTGTAGCCGTTCCACCGTGTGGTAGAACTTCATACAGGCCTGGCACACCGGTGTGTGCGCAAGGCGGCGTGCCACGCTAATAAGCCCATGAGCCCGGGCCTCATGAACAGCCTGGTGCTTGTGCAAGCGGAACGTGGCAGTGCAAACCGGGCATTGGAAGGGACGGGGCACCTCTGGCGCCTCTGCACTGCCAACGGAAGGACGCCTTGCTAGAACCCATTTGTCTAGGTCGGCTTGGTAGCTCTTGCAAGCCTTGCGCACCTGCAGCACCCACCAGTTGGGCTGATCTTGAACAGCCTCTACCAGCGCAGTCAAGGGACAACTCTGCGAGAGCAAGGTAGCCGCGGCCGGACAGTAGGCGGACACCGCCTGCATATCGTCACAGAAATGGCCCAGCCAAGACCGGCCGGGGCACAAGCGCCAGTGAGCATGCAGGATGTGTAAAAGCTGTGCAGGGCCATGTTGCAGCATACGCTTAAGCTGTACTGCACGCATCATGGCCAGAGCCAGGAGGGGAGACGGAGCTTTGGCCCGATGCAAAACATCATAACTGTGGGGGGAACGCTCCGCCGAGGTGCGTCTGGTCAGCCCTCCCCACAGATTGACGTAGTGCCTGCACCACTGTCTGCGGTGCTGGTGCGCATGCAGAAACAACACTGCACCAGCGAAAACAAACCTGGAAAGGACCAAGGAGCGCAACAGAGTGCGGCGAATGTCCAGGGGCACGCGCTCTGAGGAGAAAAGCCTGCTCTTCAATGGCTTGAAGACAGCCTCCGCCTGAGACTTGCGAAATGCAATGTCCACCATCGGCGTGTGGCTGGCTGTGATGATGCTACCCAAATGACGATAGGAATCGACAATTGGCAAAAGCTCCGTGACCCCCAGGATGCTATTGGGAACCTCAAGGCATGCGTCTCCAAAGGCGTCCTTGACGACACCGGTGGGTTCACAGTCCTGATCAAACAACACAGCCGTTTTCTCCTTGGCGAAGGTCAAAATCATCCCCATGGCCGTGGCGTGTTCAGCCATGACCTGGGTTGCTTGCCGTACCTGGCCACTCAAGGCCTGCCGGGCACGGCACGCCTGAAGCAGCACAAAATCGTCCGCCCAGGCTGCTGTGCCTATGCAGTCACACGGCTCCCACGCAGCCCACGGTGGGGCCGTCTCCACATGTGGTACAACAGGACTGAGCTGTCGCCTTTCCAGGGCCGTCTCCGCACTGCGCACATACGCGGAGAAGGTGAAGGCAAACAGTAGGTCAGCTAGCGGGTCCCCGGGGCGGCTGCCTCTCTCCGTAAGAACAAGAGCAGCCGCTCCGTCAAGTCTAAACCAGGTCCCGCGCATCATGTCCGACACGAGCGCAGTGAGGTGGGCCGTCGCGCCCGCTTCCACAACATGCGCGGCAGAGTGTAAATGCTGCGCAAGCTCCGTCACAGCACTGCTCGGAACCCCAAGCTGAGAGAAGAGGGAGACAAGGTTGCGTTCTGCGGCATGTACCGGAACCAGGGCTTGACGAATCAACATATAAAAGGCTGATTTGACATCGAAAAACACGGCCGCGGTACCATAACCAGAGCTCCTGGCCCATGCCAAGTATGACTTGACAGCGAGGGATATACCCTCCACCCCAACACCTGGAAGCTGACCTGCCTGGAGATCTGCCTTGAACCGGGCAAGGCTGGGCGCCAGTTTGTTGCGCATGATGCGGTGGAACACCTTGCCTGGGACACTGGCCAAAAGAATCGACCTGAAGGAGGAACAATCAAATAGGCCAGTCGCTCTCTTGGCAAGGCACATAAGGTGCCCACCTCGCCACATGGTGGGCTCTTGGAGAGCCATGGCTGACTTCAGATACAGAGGAAAGAGCCACTGAGAGACAAATGCGGGACTGTACCTCAGCAGCTCACCTGTTATGCCATCCGGGCCTGCGGCCTTGCGGTAAGGCAAAGAGAGGACTTGTTGCTCCACCTCCAACAAACTGGGCAGAGCCTCCACATCAAAATGTGGGCCCCCCAAGCTGGGGTCAAAGTCCGAGGCACAAAACTCTTTCGCATCGTCAGCTAGGCGAATTGGCCGACCCGCTTCCTGTTCTGCGAAATAGGAGGTCCACCTCTCCTCCCTGCTGGCTCGGTCAGCAGCCAACTGACCATCGGCCAAAAGGACTGCAGGAAGAGGCTGGTATGCAGAGCGCCGCGAGGACCGGGCCGCCGGAAAGGCTTTGCGAACCGCGGCATATAACTCTCGAGGCTGTCGTAGGTCCGAGAGAGAGATCTGTGCCACCAACCTCTCGAGGTACTTATTGCGATCTCGGCGGACTGCTGTACGGATAGAGACCGTGAGCCAGGAAAGCATGTCTAGGGCACGGGCAATGCTGACATCCATCTCCCAAAGCCATCGACCGGCTTGTTGGAGAGCCACAGGGTGGAACGCACGGCCGTCCCTGGCCAGCACGAATGCCGCAAACCCAAGAAGGAGGCGTCTGCGGGAAAGCTCAGCCTCCTCCTGACGCAGGTAAGCTCGCACAGCTCGCCTATGCTGCACCACTTGCAGAGTGGAGGGGGTAAGGTAAGCCTTTTGCGGAGCCTCCACCGGCCTCAGTTGGTGTTGGCCACCGGCTGCCAACAGAGCATCCGCGACTCCATCAAAGTGATGATCAATCGGCAGCTGCCAAGTTAGCGGGGGAGAATGCTGCAAAGCGTGGACGAAGCGCTGTTGCTCGGCCTTGGCTGGTTGCACAGGGGGCCGACAGGCCTGGCGCCTGCTGGCCTGATATGAAGCAGCAGGCTGTAGACGACAGAACCTTGCCCGCATCGTCACTGGAAAGTGGTTCTGTCTTGCCTGCATGGCCTCAAACGAATCCCAAACCTGCGAGGCCAAGTCAAACGAGGCCCAACTCTGGGGAACCGCCACAAAATCTAGACGGTATCTAACGTGTTGAGGCCCGGGCCCAACCCAGGTGTGTGAGGGGCCGGAGTGGTGCGGCCCGAAAGTCGCAGGCAAGAAACACCCAACCTGAAGGAGGAACGAGTGGAAAGCCTCTCCAACAGTGTTCTCATCTTCGGGGTCCAGCGGTCCAACGGCTTCCGTGACGACAGATCCAAGGTGCGCATTGGAGTCCGTCAAAACAACCAGATCAGACCCTTGTGGACGCCTGGAAACCTCCAAGAGCCTCTCTGTCCAGTAGCTCTCAGGTGCTGTTGGGTCTTTGGCTGTGGAACGCGGGCCATGTGCGACCAAAAGAGTGAGGTTGAGCCTGGGAGCCTCAATTTGAACCAGCAAGTGTCGGGCTGACTGTCCTACAACGGTCACATGACGGCGCTCTATGTACAGATCCACCTCCGCCACGCGGGCGTAAGGGACCTGTTGGTTCAACCAAAGGGAACAGCCATAGGCCCCTTCCTGAGTGGCCGCAGAATTGAACATCAAGAAGTGGCGATCTGGCATGGCTTCCGTGGTGGGAAGTCTGGTTTCCTGCAGACCAACCGCCCAAACCTTACGTTGAAGAAACTGGGTCTTCAGAATGTCCCGTTTGCCCGCTATCATCATGCCAGCGTGCTGTGCCCGCAGCTGGCGGCCATGCGGAACATGGGCATCAAACAGCGAAAGGACATTAAAGGAGACCCAGGTAATCTCATAAGAAACCTCCGCCTCCCTTTGCCTGACCTGCTGGACACCACGTTCCGGGGGAACGATGCAAGGCTGTTGGCTTTGAAGGAACAGCAAGGGTCTGGGAAGGCTCCCCACATTCGGCCAATGACCCAAAGCCAGGTGCCACTGTAGGCCGGGGGGAACGACTGCGATTTCGGGCTGCAAGCAAGGGTCCACTGGCCTTGGACACTACCCCATCAAAGGGATCTGTGGAGTCCGGCCCATCAGGGTCCTCCGTTGCATCAGGATCGTCGGCTCCATCGGTGGAAGGCGGACGACTTGATCCATCCTCTGACAAATCTTCAACATAGTCGATGATGAGGATCTGACAATCGTCAACCAACAACACAGGGCCAGAGTCTCGGTTTTCCACAACACCTCCTTTGATGGAGACGATATGGCCCTCTGGACAAGTGTCGTAAAATTGATTGGCAAGAGGTTGCACCTCCACCCACGGATTGTCAAGCAACCTCCAGGTGAAGCCCTGACACACACGCCGCTGATCAAGAAAAACAATGATGCGGGCGTCTTTGGCTTTTGCAGGAGGACACGGCAACCTGGCTTGTCGGGCGGTCACAACAAGGATGTTGGCAATGGGTATGCCATCCATGAAGACATCAGCCGGCCTGGGCAAGGCGGCTCTGATGCATGGTACGCCGGGCGTCATGCCGAGCGTGAGCGCAATATCATGGCTGAAGAATCCACGGCGCGTGGAATCTGCGACATATACCCTGGGCATACCATCCGTCAAGAGAAGGTAACTGTTGAAAGAGAGTACTGGCGGACCTTGGACCGGGGCATGTCGGTCCCACCCAGATGCACTCTGCAAATTGTCCGCAAGCATGGTGCCTGCCGGTGCACCAAGACCAGCGGGCAAGACTGTCACTGTCATTCCTGGGGCAAAGGTGAGCAAATGCTGGGCAGAGGCCGGAGTGGCCAGACCATGCACAAACACCTGAAAATCCTCCGCTGGGTCCAGTCCTACAGTGCGTAGCAGCGAAGAGACAGACAATTGGCGCCAGACATACAGAGCTTGCAGCCTGTCATCTACTCTTCTGGTGTCACATAGAACAACAGTGCGATCTTGAAGCCATGTCGGAACAGCAACAAAAAGAGCATGTTCCCTGTACGGCTGAGGAGATGCCGGGAACAGGCAGAGGCTGAAAAGATCACGATCTGGTATGCGTGCCTCCTTCAGTTGGAGGCGCAGTTGCTCAACCCCGCACGGAAAGTCGACCCTCAGCGTGTAGGATTCTGGCAGGAAATGTGGCACATAGACCAGCGCCTCAATCAGTGACTGTTCCAACTCACCACCCGTGGTGGCATTGGACGAGCAAGGGACCATAAGGCTGCTGGGTTGATCAGAGAGAGCATCCGGACTGACATTCACAGAGACCTGAGCTTGATCTGCGCTGGCTACCGCGGCTGTGCTATGCGCCCAGGCTTCGACACCATAGCCACTGCACACGGTTTCTCCAAGTAGGGGGGGGGCAAACGGCTCCCCGGCGAACGAAGTCGGACAAATCCCCTACCTCTAAAGTCCGCCGCGCTGGTGCCTGGCTGGGCCGCACCACCGGCAAGGCTAGCTGTTCCACACTATCCGCGGGCTGCCCTTCCCCTGAAGAAGAAGCCTGTTCGGGAGAAGAGGCCTCCTCCCAGGCATGCTGTGTACCTGCTGGCTCAGCGTAGAACAGAAGCCTTTGGCTGGACTCGACATAAATGTCCTCTCCCCTTCGCTGCCCCCCAGCTACGGCGACCTGAAAGGCAGGAGGTAACATCACATCAAACCTTGCCAAAATGCTGGGGATATGCAGGGCTGGGTAGTGGGAGTGAACAAATCTCGGTTTTAACCCCAGTGGTCGAAAGTCCAACAGCAGAAAAACGTCTCTGGCGTCTGCCCTAGACACCCGGCCGGTTCCCGGCGCAAGGACCTCCGCAACAGCGAGCACAAATGGACAGTGTTCTCCCTGAACCTCCAGATCGTCCACAGGGAAAGCACAGGTGGCCACCGCGCCCGGGCTTAACCCCAAACGGTTAACTATGGCTGCCGCAGTCAGCCCACCAGGATGGTGATGGTGCAGAAAGCAAAAGCGTTGTTCCCGGAAGAGAACACAGATGCCCTCTGACTCCTCAAGACGAGGTGCATGATGCAAAGGGGCCCAAATCGCCCCTGGGGTGAAGAGGCCCTCAAACCACAACCTAGCGAACCTTGCGTCAGGGTTTCGGACAAAGGTGATCACATCACCATCCCCCAACTGCACCTCGGTCTGAGGGGGCCAAGGAGTAGCCCTACACCCGACGTAAAAGATCAAAGGCTGATCGTCATGCCATGTGAGCGGCGTTACATAGTCCACAAGTGCCTGAGGGGAGAGTCGGCGAGGCAAGACTGTAGGGAAATACCGTCCTCCAACGCGGGAAAGATCTAGGACTATAGCTGCTGAGCCCACATCCCCACATCCAGAGATTACACTGGGAAACCGGATGAAGGAGGCAAATGCGTCAAACCTTTGAGGGAAAAGCGGGACAACCGTATCAAAGAGACCATCTGGAACCCCTAAGGCGTGCCGCCGAACAAGCCGAAGAACTGTGGCCGCGTCTCTTTGGGACGGTCGCACTGCAAAGGTTACGGGGCGGTAGTGCGGCGTGTACACATACACCCCCAGCCAGTCGGGAGCCTCAGCCTCGGCCGCGGGCTCTGGGTGCTGTCCTGGAGGCTCATCCGGCCGTGGTGGCCTGCCCATCGCAAGACCACCTACAGGCAGGAACCACAAACCCCTAAGCCCTAAAGAGGCTTCAACCGGCAGGGGAAGGGAGGCTAAACCCAAGAAGCCTAACAGGTGAGGTACAGAACGGAAGCACTTGTGGGCCGGCTTCCCACGTGACTGGCCTTTGGAGCGGTTCCTACCTCGCCGAGAAGAGAAATCCATGGCTGGACTTCTGCCTGTAAGGACCTCCAGCGGTTGTAGGACAGATGTGTCCACATCCCTGAAGACACACCGGACAGCCCTGCCACCTGGAAACCAGTGCCCGCGCGTACCCACAAGCAAAACCTTGAACAGTATGAGGCCCAAAAACATCCATACCGTTCGGCAGAACGACAAAATCCTGGCCTCGACCCAGGCCAAAAAGCGCCGCCCTAAAAAGAACGCAAAGCCACATGGGGGCTCAGGGAAGGCAGAAGATTTCACCCATGTGAAACCCTGTACGGAGATCACACTCTGCCAAAAGAAATCGCCAGGCACCGGTTGTGTGTGACGAACTTCGCCAGGAACTGGTACTCCCTCATGAAAGGCACTCGCCCCAGAGCCACCGATGCGAGTTTTGGGCGCACTTTCCAAAATTGAGGGAAACCAGAAAGGGCAAATCCATGAGCCCTTGTCGGAAGTTGAGGCAGAGGCCATGAGGAAGGCGGGGCTGAACCGGCCCAGGGTCCAAAAACCCGGCACCAGTCAGCAGAGGAGACCGCCTGGGTGACCAAAGACAAGCCCAAAACCCAAGGACTGTCCAAGCCATCCAGGTCAGCAAGGTCGTGGCAACCAAAGTCTACAGGTGTCCAGGTCTGGGAAGGAAACAGCCTACTGCCACTATACACGACCTGGTGAGACGCAAGGGGTCCGAAGACCTCATCACCATCCCGCCACTGAAAAACACATTGACCAGGAGGCAACCTGGCTGGTGCAGCCCAACCAAAGCGCCGCAAAAGCACCGGGCACCCTAGTCTGTATGTCTCACTGGCAGAACAGGACAAAGCCGACGACCCCTGGCTATTCGCTACCCTAAGCGGTCCAGTTCCGCTGCCATCTTGTCCGGATCTGGGTCGTCCTCTTCGAAGTGCACTGGGGGAACCGGCTTGTGTTCGGCCGCGGCAGCGCCACCGAAGGGCTGTAGCGCTCGCCGCTCTTGATCGCGGCGAGCCTCCAACTTGGAACTCAGACTGGGCCCAGCTGGGGGCGGGGCGGGTGGCACCGCCGCTCGAGACGCTGTCTTGATGTCCTGTCTGGGAGGCTCTACAGACGTGGGAACTCTGGCCTGCCCGGGCTCCCTCTGACCAGGGTGGGACGGCGAGACAGCCGAGCGACCTCCTTCCCCCAAGGCAGTCGCTGTCTGGGTCGAAGGCAAGACTGCCGGCTCCCGCTGAAAGATCGCTGCCCTGGATGCAAGGGCGAAGACCGGCGGTCCGCCGCTGTGTGCACCGGCCCATAGCTCCCCTCTGCTCCAACAAGACCCGGAGGGGGTCCAGCCCGATCTCCAGGAAACAGAGGACCGAGGAGCTCCATTGTCCTCTCCGTTGTAGGTATAGGCCGGAATCGGTGGAAAGCCTGCGGGTGTCCCGGTCCGTGTCCCAGCCACCCCAGGCTGCATGCCACATCCCAGGAGCAAATGTTGCAAGACTTCTGGCCGGATCTGCACCGTCTGCGGCTGTGCAACAGCCCCAGCCTTCCCAAGCAGCTGGGTGGCAGCCAAGGCTTCCTTGTAGAAGCCATTGCCAACTTCCTCCCCCGAAGGCTCTGCCAGGAGCTTCTCCCAGCTGTCGTCCTCCATATCGGGCGAGACCGCCACTTCGGTGGGGAGACCATTGGCCACAAGGTTGGCCACTTGATCCGCGGCCTCGCGCCCCTGCTTGGCTGCACTGTCCATGTCCAAGTCGAGCTTGCGGAGGTCCTCCTCGAATGCCTTCTTCTGTTCGTAGAACGCCTTCCGCTGATCGGAAGCCCATTGCTGCCACTTCTTCTCCCTTGTGACCCTTTCGTCCCGCAGCTTTCGCATGCGGTTGTCTGCTTTGCGCGACAAGGTGAGATTCTTCTGAATGGCCTGCATCAAAGCAGCCGGCTTCTGGCTGGCCGGCGCTAGCTCGAGGGTCGTAGTCTGGGCCTGCATCGGTTCCTCGCGGAGTTCGATCTGGTCGTAGCGGCCCGATCCCTTGTTCGCTGTAGCCTTGGCCTTGGCAGTTGGAGAACCCCAAGAACCACGCCCCAAGGACCATTCCTTGCGCCCATTGCCGTGGCCACCTTTGCTTTTGTTTTTGTCCCAACCGTCCTGAGACCTGTCCTGGGACCGGTCTTCCCATCCTTGCTGCTTTGTGTAGTTGGAACGGCCCATAAGCGGGCAGTCTTCGGCGTACTTCGGCAAAGAGTGGTGCCTCTTCAGCAAGCGAATGTCTCGCTGCCAGGGAGGTGCAAGGGCAGCACGATGGCGCCAAATCCTATGGCGAGCCCTCTGCCGGCGCTTCCGCTGCGCCCTGTGCCAGGTAGGACTACGCCTACTGACCTTCGCCGTGGGAGTAGACCCACTGGGGCTCCAGCAATACCGGGGTAAAGAAACCCAACGGCTCGATCCGAAACCCTCCAAAATAGTATTGGTAATTATTTTGCCCCCTACAGTACTTGAAGGGCCGGAAGCACGACAGTTCGCTGCAGAAATCGCTGCAACTCTCACGCTACATCCCTGGGCCCCGAAGCCCCAAGTCCTCGAAGCCCCTCACATACAAGGCCGAAGCAGTAAACCTCAACGCCGAACCCGCAGCTCGATTTGAGGTGCAAGAGAAAGGGGATAGCAAACAACTGCTGAAAGATAGCATACTTTTGGGGGCCTTAATATCTAATTCGAACAGGGTTTTGGGGTATAGTATACTATCATTACAAAAAGGAACCCCAAAAATAGTCTGAAGCTCTTCTGGTTTTGGGTGATGGTTGTTGTCTGCTCGTTTCTGTCTCCGCCCAGGTTGCAGGTATCAGGGTTAAGCGTTTCGGCGTAGAAGGTGGAGGGTTCGGAATTTCCGGAGCTCTGTGACTCCTTCGGCTGGCAGTCGATTTGGAGAGTTCTCAAAATTAGGGTCCCTTTCTAGGTCCCCAAAATATTACGGCACCCTTGCAAAAAGGACCCTATAACGAACCCTAATTTAGAGAAGTACCCATTTGTAGCAGACAAGCTTCCCTAGCAGAATCGTGCTCACGCAGTTACTTCGTAGTTAAGGCTTAAGAGCGTGGACTGTCAGCAAGCTGAAGAACGTGAACCCATGCCCGAGGTAGAACCGACATAATTAATGTTGTGCATAATATATGTCTCATATGAACCCACGCACGAAACCCGTAGCGCATATCTGCTGCCAAGCATCTGCAGGAGCTTGTAAGACCTGGTGTTTGGGGATGCAGGGACATGGAGGCAACTGCTTTGTACCCGAAGCTACAAAACCCTCAACGGCCTCCAATGGGGGCAATCAGTTCTTAGGTCTGATGGTACAACCTGCAACGCGCTGCAGCATACTAGTGTAGGGTGATTATAAGGGCTTCATGACCATCTTCCGCTGTCTGGCAGCTAGCGTTTGAATCCTTTCACTCTATACCCTCAAGTAACATAAGCCCTGTAGTGACCCTGAAACCCTTAAAGTATCCTTTATGCTAACCCTCAGCTTGACGGGCTCAAACCCCCGACCCAAAGCCCTTAACCCCCTGAACCCAACTACGTAACTACACTGACAACGCTGATAACCCTTGTAGCAACCCTTACATGACTCCTTTTCGTAACCGCTATAGGAGCCCTAAGCCCGGCTACAATGAGAGCCGCAAACCCGGACCCAAAGCCCGTAACCGATGAACCCTGAACCTAACTATGACGACACTGCGAAGTTGAAGGGCAAGGAGTTCATATCACCCAAAAATCCCTAAACCCCAAAACACCCTAAACCCAAAAAAAACCTAAACCCAAAAAAAACACCTAAACCAAAAAAAAAAAACAAACTAAACCCCAAAACAACCCTAAACCCCCAAAACAACCCCAAAACCCCAAATACCATTCTAGAATCCCTATAGAATCCCTTTAAAGGGACCCTCTTTAAAGGGAGCCCTAAACCCCTACAAAAACCCTATACTCTAGAACCCTACTATAGCCTTCCTTATAGACCTCCTTTTGAAGGAACCCTCGTAGTCGCGAAGCCTCCCAAAAAAGCCCTAAACCCGAAATGCCCTAAACCCAAAATCAATTAAACCCTAAGCCCTAGACCCAAAAAACCCTGAGCCCTCATAGTCCCCGATCCCAAAAAAACAAAAGAAGGAACCCTTGAACCCTTATAGAATCCCTATACATCCCGTTAAAGGGACCCTTAAAGGAACGTTTCAAGGAGCCCTTAAAACCCGACGACTCTGCGATTCGGCGAAGGGGCAGGGAGTTCGCATCCACCATCTCTTCTGCTCCTGAGGCGCCGTGGCCTTCGGCTCTCTGTTTGGGGGCTTTTTGGTTTAGGGACTAGGTGTAGGGTTCCTCTAAAGGGGTCTAGAAGGGATCTATAAGGGCTACTATAAGGGATAGGGTTTTTGGTGGCTTTGGGTTTAGGGTGTTTTTTTTTGGGGGGGTCGGGGCTCCTTTTGAAGAGGTTCCCTTCAAAGGGATCTATAGGGATTCGTTTAGGGTATTTGGGGTTTTAGGTTTTTTTGGGGCTCAGGGACTATGGTTTAGGGTTTAGGGCTTAGGGTTTTTGGGTTTAGGGTTTAGGGGTTTTGGGTTTGGGTGACTAGAAGGGCTAAGGGTTGAGGACTGTTGAGGGTTTAGGGTTGAAATGTTTCAGGTTTGCGGATCAGGGTTTAGCGTTGAAGGCAAGTTTAAGGTTTAGGGTTTTCTCACGACGGCCATGCACCACCAGTACTGTTATTATGCAGGGCAAATCTTCGTGCAAAGCGCGTAGATGCTGCCGCCAAGCCAGCTGAGTAGTTGGAGTGCTTTTGAAGATATTGTCTCAGACCCAAAAATGTCTACTCTTAATTTGGAGGAGTACCTAGGTTGCGTTTTGACGTCCTGCTGAAAGGACCCCAGCGTTTTAACTGAAACTAACCCTACCCAAGGCGGGGGCGGAGCACCTCTTTGCCCGCTTTTCAGGATCTCTTTTCTATCTCTATATACTGGAGAAAAGATGTCGAGATGGATAGGGTCGTTATGCAGAGTAGCCAGGCTCTTGATAACTTGTGAAGAACTATAGTAGAAGCTTTCAGGGTTGCAAGAAGGGCCCATAGTAGAGCTACAACGCAAACCATGCAATGCGTCTCGGGTCACCTCCTCCTCACGGAATTGATTCGGCTCATAATGCATGTAACGCTGTGCCAAGGGATGACTTACTGTCTTGTCCATCTTTGAGACAAAACGCGACTGCGTTCTTCATATCACTTGCGTGAGTCAGTGGATCATAGCCAAGCAGCTATGGATGACACCTCTGTCTGATGAACTTCGTGCTTGGTAGCGACATCCTTGAAAAGATGGCTTTTGCCGGATACGACACATCGTACACTGACCGGCCGATTGCATGTCTTGTAAGCAATCGGCACCATGGCGCCCATGACATAACTTTGGGTCACGCTTGCCGGCCAGACGCGGACAATCAAGCTCATTGAAATGAAGTCTCGGGTAATATCCGGGACTCGAGTTCTTGAGGATATCGCCAGCAACTGAATCCGAAAAGACTTCATCCCAACTACGGCTATCGAGAAGGCAAAGGCTTGGGATTTAGGGTTTTAAGGCCTAGGGAAAAGGCTTGTGAAGCTTAGAGTTTCGGGTTTAGGGTTTGGGACCTATACGGGGCTACTGCAAGGGCTACCTTAGGGGCTACTACAAGGGCGACCATAAACGCAGCTACTGGACAGGTCTTCGGCTGCTTTGGGAGTATAAGAAGTAAGCAATTCCTGAGATATGCTCGCATATATCCCTAGTACAAGCTTCAGACGGGGGTTCCCGAACATTCGGTGTTATCTTCCTTATAATTAGAATCCTACTATTGAGGGTACTATTCTAGGGTCCCCTACGCTCGGAAACTCCCACATGGAGAGGGAAGTTGCCCCTCACAGCCTTGAAGTCCTTTGGTCCTAAGCTAAGAGACCAGCTCAGCACACCGTGGTCTGGGGCTGTGGGGCGCAGGGTGCGACTGTCAACCCCAGGAGTCAAACTTCCTCAACCCAAAACCAACTCAAAACCACTAAGTCCTTGAATCCCAAACCCCAAACCTCTGAACCTGTAAACACCCCGAAACCTACCCATGCTAAACTTCAGACCCTCAGCCAACAAACGCCCAGGCCGTAATGTAGAAGCTTGAGTATTTATCATTACGTACAACAAAAAGCTTCACATCAGATACCTAGCATCCTGGACCCCAGACCCCATTTTAGCTAGTAAGGCCCCAGAACAGGAACCCCCAAAACCCCCCCTAAACCCTAAACCCCCCCCTTAACCCCCCCCCCCCCCCCAAAAAAAAAAAAAAATGGCAGCATGTGGATCGCCTCTCCGCTGTTGCATGAAGTTCTCGGGAATGGCATCGGCCAAGCCGGTACAGATCACAAAAAAGTCCTGGGCACGAAGGGCTTCGGGTTTAGAGTTTAGGTTTCAGGACTGGGGGTTAAGGATTTTTTGCGGAACCCGAAAGACCAAAAGTCAACAATAGTCCTGGGCTGCGGGATTTGGGGCTTGATCAGGGCCCTCTTGGGACTTTTGAAGCGTTCTATGAGGGCTCTTTACTTTCGGGGTTTTGCAGCACGACGGTTAGAGTAGTTTAGGACTGGGGGTTTAGGGTTTCTGCGGAACCCCTAAGCCCTACAATAACCCTGCATACTACCCTTATGACACCCCTTGATCGATCCAACAGGAACTCTTCTAAATCCATTTGAAGAACCCTGAGTGTTGCCCTGAAATATCCACCCTTATAGATTCAAAATACCCCTTTAAAGGAACCCTTGCAGATCCACGCCCGCCCTTTCAACGGAACCCTTAAACATCCATGAAGGAACCCTTGCACATCCATGATCGTCCTTGGAAGGGAACCCTTGATCGCCTTTGTAAGGAACCCTTGCGCATCCATGATCCCCCTTTGAAAGGAGCCTTAAAAGGCAGCCCTTATGCATCCATGATCGCCCTCTAAAAGGAACCCCGATGGATACCCGTTTACAGGAGCCCTTATAATAAAACCCTGAACCCTTTCCCCTAAACCCTCAACCCTGAACCCCCAAACCCTAAACCCCAAACCCTAAACCCTAACCGCGAAACCCCAGACCCTAAACCCTAAACCCTAAGCCCTACCCACCAGCCTCGGCAGCACTGCCTCCTGCAGAGCGGCTCACGGAGGGCTTTAAAGGGATCTGTAGGGCTCCTTTAAAGGGAGTTATAGGGCTCCTTTGAAGGGATTTATAGGGTTCAGTTAAAGGGATCAAGATGTCAAAAAGGGCTCCTATAAACCCTACTATAAGGGCTTCAGGTTTGGAGTTTAGGGTTTCGTGTTTGCGGGTTACTAGTTCTATAAGGTTTCCACAAGGGTTGCTTGTAGGGTGCTTTCTATCGAGCGGCGTGGGCTGCAAACGAAATGTAAAGCACCTTGCACAGGCAGTCCGGCTAGCAAGTCTCAAAGCCCCAAGAACAAGCCCAGTCACCTTGTCAACCCCCCCTGGATGAGAGACCCCAAGAGCCTTCCACGATGATTCGCTGCGGCGGCACACGCAGACGTGTTGCCCGCGTCGCGAGCTCCTTGACTCTGTCGAGTCCTTGGGCGGATCACGGCTCTGGCAGCCAAGATAGGGGCCTTCAGAATTGCAATACTCTTCTTTGTAAAGGGTGCTTTACAAGAGCTACTATGAGGGACACTGTAAGGGCTCTAGAATAGGGTTTTGGGGGGTATCTATACTTACAAGAAGGAGCTCCCAAAATAGTATGGGCAGGGATCCCTTAAAGGAACCTCCAAAATGGTAGTTTTTCAGGCCCCTATAATTATGGTCCCGAAGACAAAGCGCCTGACTCTGGGAGCGACCAAAAACCTCAGGTCGAGGTCTTTCAATTCCTAAACAGCCAAACCCTAAGGCACCTAAACCCCTGTACTAAAGCCGTAACCCTACACCCCAAAGCACTAAACCCCTAAACTCTGCTCGCTGACGCTGCCACCGCTCCTCCTCCTGTGCCTGTTGGTACCACCACCCCCAAAACCACGACCACGACAACCTGCTGCTGCTACTACCCCTCCTACTGCTGCTACTACTCCTCCTCCTACTCGTGCTACTCCTGCCTGCTCCTAATTACTCCCACTCCTGCTGCTGCTCCGGGTCTTGCTCCTGCTCCTACTCCTACGCCTACGCTTTCGTCTACTCCTACTCCTACTGCTGCCACTACCAGTACCACCAACGCCGCCACCACCACAACCACCACCAAGGCTGCGACGAAGACAACAAACACTACTACGATTTACTCCTCGTATTTGTCGTCGTCTTTGCCTTCGTCTTCATGTTGTCTCGTCCCTCAACACGTAAAGCCTGAACCCTAAACGTTAGAACCCTAAAGCGAGTTCAGGCCAGGCTCTCTGTGTGAGGTCGATTGCCGACCGCAGGTTCATGTTTTTGCACAGTGACCTGCGCTCAAGACGGTATGTCAGCTGGCAGCTTGGGGTCACAACGGAGCAAGCGGCAGCCGCAGCAGACCCTGACACAAACAGCTGCACGATAACATCTAACTCCGCATCTATATCGCTAGACAAGACTGATGAACCATAATACACTATCGTTTGCGGTCACATAGCTATGAAAAACTATAATAGAAAGTTGTGACTTATTCTCCACCGGCTTCTGAGCCTCACGATGAAGTCCAGCTCTTCGTCTGTCAGCTTTCCCGGTACAGGCTCGACACCAGGCATGCGCTTCGCGATGTTCCCGGCTCGCTTGGCATGTCCTCACAAAGAAGTGCATGAAGACGGTGGGATATCATGGGACTGAGTCGCAACCAAGGTAACGATCCCTCTAATTAAGTATAACTCCATTTCAAGGGCTTAAAGCCTCCCTTCAAAACCCCCCTCTGCCCCCAGCATCTGGAAGCCAGACCCTAACACGAAACCCTAATTCCTAAACCATGAAACCCTAAACCCTAAACCCTGAACCCTAACCCCTGGCGGCGGTCCCTCGTACATGGCCGCTCTCCGCGGGAAGTGAAGGCACTCGTGGAGTCCCAGGTCTTCAAACTTCTCACCTTTTTGGTTCAGGGCTTAGGCCTTCGTTCGTCTCTATGTTCTTTGGAGTCACGGGTTTAGGGTTTAGGGTTATGTCTAGAGTCTAGAGTCTAGGGGATCGTGCTTAGGGCTTCTTGTGCTAGGTTCTATAAAGGCTTGGCTCGGGCCTTCATAAGGGTCTTATACCATTAGTCGTCGTCATTGAGGGCTCTTGGTCTCGCTGGGTTCTCTGGTTCCGCTGTCACTTTGCCACCAGGAAGCGCGAAATGGTGTAGCAAGTCACACCAGGGGGCTCCGCGATGACCGACGCGCGAAATGCACGTGTCTGCACCTCGGGAGGACGAGCAACCGCCGTCAACAAAAACCCAACAGCATGACCCATGACAGCACAGGAAGAAGATTGCGAGAAACTGACCGAAGTTGAGAAGTGACAATAGGGACAGTGACTTGGTCCTCCTGGTCACCAGAAGAAGCATCGACTGCAGATAGCACGGGAACGAGTCTCCAAAGGTTGGGCTGCAAGCTTCGGGGCTAGTCGAGGGCTACATCCCCGATTCAACTCACAACCCCAGCTGTTTCGTATGATATCATCTGTCCGCAATAAACGTAATTACAGTGTAACCAAACTAGCAACGACAGTGCTAGCACTAGGACTGGCAATACATCCTGTCAAAGGTACTCATGATGACTGGCATTGCCACGACTGTCGTTCAAGGTCAGATGCTCTACACCCGGAGCTGCAGAGCCCTCGAACCCTAACCCCAAAACCCCAGGAACCCTTTTGCAGAACCCCTCAACCCTAATCCCCAAACCCTTAACCTCAAGGGTTCTTGTCTTACTATTGGTTCCACCCTATCACCCAACAGAAGAATCGCAGGAAAGGCGCCAGCGCGTAGCCTCCACTCCAGTCCCCGCGCTGCAGGGTGGCGATTCGCTGCTCCTGCCGCTTGGGGAACAGAGGTAGCGTCGGGGGGTTGGGGTGGTCTTGAAAGGGGTAACATAGGGTTTCCTTTGACGGAACTTTTAAGGTTCCTTTAAAGGGATCTGCAACGGTTCCTTTAAAGGATCTATGGGGGATCCTGCGAGGGAGTGCTACTAGGTCGGGTTGAGTGTTTGGGGCTCTGTAATTAAAGGATGCATAGGGGTTCCTTTGACCCTTATATAAACGAGGGCGCACTATGTTATAAGTGCAACTAACACTAGGCCCGAAACCCTAAGCCCCAAACCCTAAATCCCCATTGTAGAACCCTCTAGATCCTGAGCGGAACTTTGCTAAACCTTCACTACCTTTACAAAACCCCTGGCAACCCCTCCTCGTCATTGCCATCACTGCCAGGAGAAACCTGTCGAGGCATCCCAGCTGTCGAATCTGAGCGCAGCGTTCTTTGGGGTTCGGGGTTTAGGACTTAACGGGTTAAAGGCTTTACTTACCTTTGGTTAGCAGAGAATGGAAGAATGGTAGTAATGGTAGTTATAATTGTACCCCATTCCTCCATTCCCTACTAACCAAAGGTAAGTTTAGGGTTTGGGCTCCCTAAACCCTAAACCCTAGACCCTAAACCCTAAACCCTAAACCCTTTTGGGGTTTCCGTGTTGGGGTTTCGGGTTAAATGCAAATTTTTAGCAGCAAACCACCGGTCTCGGGGTTCAGGCTTTAGGCTTTAGGCTTTAGGGTTTTAGGGTTTTAGGGTTTAGGGTTTAGGGTTTAGGGTTTTGGGTTTAGGGTTTAGGGTTTAGGGTTTAGGGGGCAGTTTGCCAGGCAAAAGCGGGTGTAGGATGTTTAAGGAAAAAGGAAGAGAGTTTAGGGGGAAGGAGTTTAGGGGTGTTTGGGGGCTTAGGGCTGACGGTGGTGTACTCAGGTTTAGGGCCTAAAGTAGGTAAGCTCTGTGTGGATACCTGGGTTTTTGAAAGGATTCGCGACAAATCAATTCTGAGCAACCGATGAAAGCAACCCATGATCAGCACTACGTCACCACGAACCAGGCAAAGATCAAGAAAGCCTGAGCTCTGAGAACCGGAACCCTCCCAAAATGTAGCCCTACACGGCTTTCAGGCTTTTGGGTTGCTTTGGGATTCAGGCTTCATCCGGACTTTTGTGGACCGACCGACTTCAGGGTTTAGGGTGCTACACCCATAAAGGGAACTCCAGAAAGTTGGGATATGGTTTCGGGGTAGGATACCCTATAATTTACCATAAAGGGTTTAGGATAATCATATTCCAACTTTCTGGCTTTTACTATAAGCTTGAAGACGGGAAGCTGTCGGGGCGCATGACGACGGCAGCAGTTCCGGTCTTGATGACCTTGAGTTCCCTACCAACATCACCCTGCTTCGCCAGGAACTCCCCGGCGCGAAACCTCAGGGTTTAGGGTAGAAGGTTTGGGGCTGAAAGCTTGGGCTTTTGGGGTTTGGGGTTTAGGATGCAGGGTTTGGAGTGTAGTTTCGGGTTGAGGATGTACCGATGTACCTTGAACTACCATGACCTACGTTTTTGTAGGTTCTGATTATCGACTCTAGCATCCAACTTTAGGGTTGAGGGCTCAAGGAGTTTAGGGTCTAGGGTCGTGCTCGGGGCCTTGATAACTGGAAGAGGGCCGCTAGAGTAGACGACAGAGATATAGCTATACAGGCAGATGATTAGTAACTAGACAGGCCCCGATTCAGGCATCCCTTTGCAGTAAGGGTACCGTCTCTTCTCGGCGTGAACGAGGAACCCAAACTCAAACAATGGGTACTTTACTGGGGTACCAGCGACTTTTCCCGGTTTGGGGTCTAAGGTTTAGGTTCACGGTTCAGGGTTAAGCTGAAGACACTAATAACACGATTATAAGGCACTCCTAAGTCCGAAGACCTGTATAAAGCTCTATTGAGCCTTCATTGCTCGCCTATAAAAGCTTTACCCTTATTGACTTGGCACCCTTCTTTGCACCTCATTACACCTCTACCTGAAGGATCACTGCACACAGTAACTCAGGCCGAGGGTTATAAGTAGTTATACTCATAACTACTTAGAACTTGTACGAAATGCGCCGAGCCTTACAATAACTCCTACACCCCTAAAGCCCCTTATAGATGAACCTTGTGCATCCCCTGGAGGAATCTGCTACTACTGCTGCTGCTGCTGCTACTACTACTACTATCACTATTGCTGCTATAACTACCGCCACCACCACCACCACCACCACCACCACTACCACCCTAAACATCCCTAAGGCATAAGCCCTCAAACCGCAAACCCTTGATCCTAAACCCTAGAAATTTCCCAAACCCTGGGATCCTCCCACGACAACTTGGAGGTTCATGGGTAGCTATAAGTAGGGTTGTAAGTCCCCTAATAGGGCTTATAACTATAGTTACCCTACCTATGACCCCACTTATGACTACCCTAACCCTATAGAACCCTCAAAGGAACCCTAAACTTACCGCTAACAACCCCACATCCTACTACTACTACTACCTCCCCAAACCCTAAACCCCAAACCCTTGATCCTAAACCCTAAAAATCCCCTAAACCCAAAAATCCTCCTACGACAAGGATTCGGACCCACCCAAGACCCCGCGGATTGGGATCCCCGGCGTCTTCTCCTCCAGGGCTTCGGCCACACCTAGCTTGTCAGGCGGCTGTGGGGGCTTTAGGGTTTTAAGGTTTTAAAGTTTGGGGTTTAGGGTTTGGGGTTTTAGGGTTTAGGGTTGAGGGCTTAGGGTCTAGGGTTTTAGGGTTCTCGGTTTTAGGGTGTAGGGCTTAGGGTTTAGGGCTTTAGGGTTTAGGGTTGTAGGGTTTAGGGTTAGGGGTTTAGGGTTTGGGGTTTTAGGGTTTGGGGTTTGTTTTCACCGGGTCGGTTTCCTTTATGGGATATTAAGGGATTTACTAGTATGGCTTAGGGTTTTAGGGTTCAGGGTTTAGGATTTGGGGGTTTAGGGGTTTAGGATCATCTTTAACCGGATCCGCTTCTCGGAGGTTTAGAGTTTAGAGTTTAGGGCGTCGGGCAAATAGGTGTCTTCAGAATCGGAATTGGGCTCCTCTGAAGAAGCGCCTGCGCTGGGGTACTTGAAGTGTTCGTATAAGGGTTGGAATATAGGCGCCTTGATACAATAGGGTCTTGTGATAGAAAAGGACTCTACTTATGACAGACCCCGGACCCTGAACCCTTTGACCTCAAGCCTAAACCCCTAAACCCTGGAAACCCTGAAACAGAGGGTCGTTTCCCAAAGTGGCCTAGGCACGAGGACACTGTCATCCGGGAACCCTTGTAGATGCCTAGACAGGAGCCCCCGAAAAGGAACCCTTGCAGACCCCTTAAAAGCAACTCTTATAGATTCATAGATCCCTTAAGAGGAACCCTTGCAGATCCCTGAAAAAGGAACCCTTGTGGATCCCTTAAAAAAGCAGCCCATAAAGCACCCTTCTAAAACCCTGCAAGGCTCCTTTTCTTCGCCAAGGCACGAGGAAGGTCTGCTCGGGGGAGCTGGTTAGCAAAGACTGGCACGGTCTCTAAGAACTTGACCCGCTCTTCGAATTCCTCTCTCTGGCCTGGGCTTGGTGCTTTCTTAGGGGTTTAGGGTTGAAGGTTGGAGGCTTTGCGAGATTTAGGGTTTGGGGTTTTGGGGATTTGGGTTTGGGGGATTTGGGTTTTGGGGGGGTGGGGTTTAAGTGGCGGGAGGGCGTGTCCCCAAACCCAAAGAAAGCCTGAGTTCTGCCCGGCGTTTATCCGAGAAGCTGTGATACTGCTGCATGCGCCAGGAGGTGGGCCAGAGCCCTTCCAGGCAGGAGCAGGTATCATTTGAACCACAGAGGCGCTGGCCCATGGCTGAGAAAAGTGAAAAGCTCGCGCTGAGGGCCTTAGGGATGTGGGGATTTTCAACCCGGGGTCTGCCACCTTGCGCAGGACCCAGAGAGCCCTTAATCCCCTTAATTAAGGGATATGGCTTAAAATTATATAGGGCTTCATATTATGACTTAAGCTATATTCCTTAATTAAGGGGTATTGGGCTCTCTGGGGAAGTCTGTTGAAATTTTGGTATGCGTTGGCTTCCGGCTGAGCGCTGGTATGATGGTAGGGCCTGGGGTAAGCTTGGTGTGGAACTCGCTGAGGCTTAGACACAGAAGCAACCACGGCTCTGTCTGAAAAGCTGCACAGAGAAGGCCACCATGGACGGGCAAAGCGCAGGGAAGGATCGGATGCATCAGCTTTTCTTACCTTTGGTTCGTAGGGAATGGAGGAATGGGGTACAATTATAACTACTATTACTACCATTCTTCCATTCCCTACGAACCCAAGGTAAGCTTTAGGGCCTTGGGCTGTGCCAGATGAGCTCAAGTCCTTTTTCCCTTTCCACTCGCATCTCGGGTCGGAAATGAAGTGGCCCTGGTCGCAGTCGGCCCCATCATCGGGCTACCCAGAGACTCCAATGTCCCTTAATTAAGGAATATTCCTTAAATTATAGTAGGATCCCTTTCATGATTTAAGGAATATTCCTTAATTAAGGGATATTGGAGTCTTTGGGTTGTCCAGCGTCTGGCCCTGGCCTGGTAGTCGCCCTGCACCGGATCAGCGAAGGTCCATCTCCGATCCTCTGGCCATCCGCGAGCTTCTGGGCTTCGGCTCTCTCCATGGCGCCGTGCTGCTTGTAGCTCTGATCTTCAGGGAAGCCATGGCCCGGAGTGCTACAACTTCAACTTTCCCCTGGATCATGATCGCGTGGAGAGAGGCCGGTAGTCGGCCCAGCTGCCACAGCCTCCGCCTCCGCCCATCCCAGCCATCGGAGCGCCCCCAGCCAAATCCCGGCTCTCCGAAGTGCCGTTGCCACCATTGATACCCCGACCACCCGTCGCCGAGCCCCCACCGGCTGGGGCCACGTTCCGGGTCCTCGGTTTGTAGCATCCAGCCTTCATAATTTAAGAATAGGGTTTGGGGCCCATTATACTATGCTCATAATAAGGAACCCCCACAATAGTATAGGTAATTATTGAGGCCCCTGTATTACAACCTCACCTTCATCGGCAACCTCAAACCCGGATCCCAGTGCAAGCAGCATCCAGCCCAAGCAAACGGCCACAACCCGAAGCTTTACTTGAATTCTGAACCAGACAGACCACACTCCACGTCCCAAACCCGGAGCGCTCAAAGTCTCGCAACCAGCATCCCAACCAGTACAATAAGACCCTCAACAGCACCATTTTTAAAGACCCTGCAAGAACACTTCCTGACCCCTTACATAAACAGAGCACAACCCAGAGCCCTTACGTGACAGAATCAGAAAACAAAGGAGACCGTGACCGTGATCCACCACAAATGGGAACCCCTTAAAAGAACTCCTGCTGAACCCTGAAAGGAACCCCTTCACGGACCCCCATAGATGAACAGAGCTAGGTCTCGCAAGGCGTGGAGTCTTCGGCGCCATGTTCTGCGGATTCGGTGCCCCCATGCCCTTGAGGAGGGGATCGGGGATCGGGCTGTTAGTTGCGGAATTAGGGTTTCCGGGTTTAGTTTTTAAGGGACTACCTGTAGCCGAAAAGACCTACCTTTTTAAGGAACGATATATCGAAACCATAATAAGGAATCCTAAAAAGGAAGGTCTTTCGGGCTACAGGTAGGGTTTCGGGGTTTAGGGCTTTAGGCGTTTAGGGTTTAGGGCTTTGAGGGCTCCAGGGCGGGCTTCGGCTTTGGGACGTACCCAGAGAGCCCCAAGACCCCCTAATTATGAAGCCCTATATCATTTAAATCATGATATGAAGCCCTATATAACTTAAGCCATATTCCCTAATCAAGGGATATTGGGCTCTCTATGTAAGGTTTTCCCTAGCTTGTCTTGGGTCCTCGCAAGCAGCGTTTACGAAGTACGTGACTCGAGGGCCCTGGCGGCTTGCTGTAGTGTGGGGTCGGCATGGATCTAGAGTCCAGCATATGGGAGCCTGGGCAGACGGTGACGGTAGCCTATGGCCGCCACTACGACGATAACAGCCATGAGGAAATCTCAGTTGACGTGTGTCCTCACAAACCCTTTCAGACCCTAAACCCCGAAACCCAGGCCATCAATCCCCAAACTCACCCTTACAATCGAAACGCACAACAAACATACTCCAAACCCCAGCAACAACAAGGAAAACCCACCCAAACCCCCTAGAAACCCCACCCCCGAAACGACAAAGCTTGCCAGAGAGCCCAATACTTCTTAATTAGGGAAGATGGCTTAAATCATAAAGTGCTTCACATTATGATTTCAGGCACATTCCTTGATTAAGGGATATTGGAGTCCCCTTAAGCCCTAAACCTCCCTGTAGGGGAACCTTTAAGGATCCCTTTCAAGGAACCCCAGGTACTCCTTAATTAAGGGGTATTGGGCTCCCTGGCTTCCCAAAAAGTGGAGGCCGAGCTGCGACTGAATCCGCCATGCCTGGGCTGAATGGGCTGAGCAGCAGAGGACTCTACTTGGAGGTTCATGCACCCTTTGGAACGATCTATCGGGATGCGATAAGGGTATAGGGCTTAGGACTCTACTTGGAGGTTCATGGGTAGTTAGTAGTGGGATCATAAGTCCAATGGGAGTTATAACTATAGTTACCCTACTTATAACCCACGTATAACTACGCATGAACCTCCAAGCAGGGCTTGTTCAAATTCCAGCCTCTTTCATTATTCCTTGTTAGAGTATCTTCTGCTTCTAGAGTATCTTATCATGGATCCGCACGGCAAACCCACAATCCCAAACCCAAGCCGCATTACCAGTTCGAGGTTTCACAGTTGGGAGTGAAGCACGTAGGGACCTTGGGATCCGGAATAGAACAGGGTTGGTGTAGCGGTCAAGACTGCCTGAAATCTCAGTGGCGTCGCTGAGCTGTGGATTCGGACCAAAGCCATTCAGCCCAAAGCCCAGAGCCTAGAGCCCTGCCTTTCCAGAGGACAGTGAAATTCACGAACGGTACTTGGAGGTTCATGGGTAGCTATAAGTAGGGTTATAAGTCCCCTACAGGGCTTATAACTATAGTTACCCTACTTACAACCCCACTTATAGCTACCCATGAACCTCGGACCGGGGGGCTGAGGCCTGATAAGAACACGAAAGTTGCTCTGGGACCGACTGCGGGTTCCAGATGTGCTCATCCCAAGCATCCCAAGCACCGGGATCCTAACAACTTTCTAAACGCTTTGAGCGCCTAAACCCTGAAGCCCGTAGGGTTTAGGATTGTGTTCCCGTGTAAACTTGAATAGGAAGTGGGAGGCTCAAAAGAACGCTGATTGCCTGAACCCTCTACAACCCGTACCCCTCAACCCTAAGCCATGCGAACAGGGGGCCGTCGTCTGTTTCCGACAGCGGGCGGTTCTGGAACGTGAAGCAGAAGTCTTGGCTGATGCGGGGGGTCCGGGGACTTCTAGGGACGCAGGACTGCTTTGCCGGAGTACCTGGGTCCCTAAACACTGAACGCTGATGATAGGGGTTTAGGGTTTAGGGAATTAAACGACGTCCACTGACTTGCTCCGACGGACCTCAAAGCCCTCAGACTGAGAGTGGACATGCAGATAGATAAACTATGATAAACTGCATGCTGCCCTACGAAAAACCTTTCGTGTTTTCGGAGACAATGCTCCGATTGTTCTTGAGCAAGCAAAAGGTGCAGAAACTGCGATACGGATTGATTCCCGAGCTTGCCATGCCGGAGTGCTGTCTCCAAGTTGCTGAGTTCATAAGCCCCAACAAGTGTACAATTTTAGTTTTATAGTGGTAATATTATCCCACAAAATGTAAAGTGTATCCACTCAGCTACTAATTAAGATCTTAGTTGTGTGGGCCTTTGGCCGACTGCCAAGCAGCTGACTCTCGGATAGCAGCGCTTGAACTGCGCTGCGATGCCGACACCTCAGCGGCTCGAAGCATGGCAGAAACCTTGTGGAACCTTATGATAAACCCTCATGCAGCACTTCCTAGAAAACTTCTAGAACCCTAAACCCGTAAATCGACTACCCTAACCCCCATGCTCCCAAGAATAGTACAGTTCAGGGCAGCGCTTCACCCTCCGCAGGGTCACATTCCCCGCACTTCTCAAAAAAAAAAAGGGCTTTAGGGTTCAGAGCTTTTTTATGGGTGTTTAGGGTTTAGGGCCCCTAGGATGGCTCATGGTTTCCAGGGTTCATCGTTTAGGGCTTTGTTGGGCAATGTAGGAACCCCAAATAGTAGGATTCATATAGGGAACCCTAATAAAGGCCCGAGGTTTCTTAATCTAGTTCCTACATCAATAGGATATAGGGTTGAAGGTTTCGAGTTCAGGGTCTCCAGCAAGGCTTTTGGACCGGACGCTAACGGGTCTGATCGAGCCTACACTTTGCATGCCCGACAACGTGGTTTAGGGTTTTAGGGCTTTAGGGTTTAGGGTTTGAGGGTTTAGGGCTTAGGGTAGACGGAAAGAAATTAGGGCTTCGGGTTTAGAGGTTTGGGGTTTAGGGACTTGAAGGGTGCAGCACAGGACAAAGGGCTTGTCATCAACACTGAGTACAAACAAACCAACAGCAGCAAACGACACAAACACACAGAAAAAAAAAAAAAAGCGGAGGAATGGACTTCATGAACCCTAAACCTCCTCCTCCGGCTCCTCCTGCTCCTCCTCCTCCTCCTCCAAGAAGGCCTGCATCCCAGGCGCAGGAGAGGCAGGGCACGCCGGAGGTGTGGAAGGCCAAAGAGCCGCTGATGTCCTCTCTGCCCTCCTCCGAGTGTTTTCGGGCTTTCGGGTTTTGATACGGTTTCAATGATGCCCTCATACGGTAAGAGTCTATAATAAGGCTACTATTCTGGTCCTAATATATCCATATAATGAAAATATTATTCAACTATTACCTAATTACTGAAGGGTAGGCTCAGGGTTAGGGCTTTAACAGGATACTATAAGGACACTATAAGGGATCCTTTAACGGGTAAAATGAGGGGCTACCTTTTTGGGGGCGCTTAAAATAAGGATGCTACTATTTAGGGTGCTACATAGGGCTGCCCTATTTTCGGAAACTCCCTTATAAGGTTTCAACGAGGTTTCGATGAGAATCGCAGAAGGTGCTTGTGGGGCTCAGGGCTTCGGATGTTGGCTTTCTGGCTCAGGGTTTGGGGTGGCTTTACGGATGCTTTACGGCTTCTTGGTGGCCGTAGAAGACTGGCGGATGAGGGCTTGTTTGGATCTTTTGGGGGTTGCGGGCCTTAGGACAGCAGATTTGTCCGAGGTCTTGTGGTTTGGGGCAGGATCTCTTCATACGGTGTGGAAGGGCACTGCCCCTTCCACCCGTCTTCACCGAAATACCCACAGGTCAAGGACCTCAAGGCAAAGTTTCAATATTCCGATGATCCGATGCAGGCATCGATGCCTCCTGGATCAGCTTCTTCAGCATCTCATGTGTAGCCAGCATGGCCCTGCACCTCGTGTGAGAGTCAGCACAGGCATCTGAAAAAAAAACCTGCAGTTCGGTTTACTGATGCTGATGACAATAACGCACCGTGCATCAAGATGATGATCACCATCGCCGTCGTCTAATCTACACCGCAACCACAAGAGAAAGAAGAGTACAAGCAACGGTCATCATAACCACTGCCATAGCCGCTTCCGCGACTGAATCTTTTACCGGCCTCACTGACCCGCGTCTATCTCTGTGGCAGTTTCCTCCGGGAGTGCACGAATTCCCTCAAGACCGACACTTTGGAAAAGACGGAATGGCCAAAATGGGAAGGTTAGAGGCTTAGGGTTCAGGCCTTAGGGTTAGCCTTTAAGCACGCGCGATACAAACCAATCGATACGCAGCTCTGAGCCCGAGAGATCAATTCAAAGCCCCGTACAGCTGTAGACCCGCCCTACATACCCAAACCCCCTACATCCTGAAACCCTCAAACCCCTGAACCCTGAAACTCCAATTCATATGGAAACCCTCTAACACTGCCCCAAACCTATGACACTGCTTTCAAAGAACAAAAAAGCGCCGAAACCCTTAAACCCCTAAACCCCTAAACCCTAAACCCCTGGTGGTAGGCTTTCCTTGGCGCCCGGCTCGGCATCTCCGCTGCGCCCAGCTCGGCCGACCGTCGGGGAGTCTGCTTTCCCCTGGCCCAGCCAGACGACCTGGAATTCAGAGCTTTTGGGGTTTGCGGCTTGGGGTCTTAGGGCTTAGGGTTCAGGGGTTTAGGGCTTTGGGTTTAGGGCTCTAGTGGTTTAGGGCTTTTAGGGTTTAGAGGTTAGGGTTTTAGGATTTTTGTGCGGTTTCACTGAGGTTTATGCAGTTGTATCGGGTTTGTTCTGTAATACGGTTGTAGTCTAGATGCGTTCCTTGTATTTCTGGATTTGCTGCGGGTTTAGAGGATGTGGGTTCTGTACGGCTTAGGGCTGAATGTTCTGTGCTTCACTTGCCAGGGACTTAGGGGTTTGAGGGTTCTAGTTTCTCCGGGTCTTGGGGCTGAGGGCCAGGGTCTAGAGGTTCGTTTGTCAGGCTTTATGTTCCAGGCGCCAGGTTCGTTTGCCCAACCCTGAACCCCAAACCCTAAGGTCCCTTGAATCCAAAAACCCTAAACCAACAACCCCAAAACGTAAACCCTAAGGCCTTCAACCCTGAACTCCCGAAACCCATTTCAAGCACTTTTAACTCTCTTTTCAAAGTCCTTTTCATCTTTCCCTCACCCTCATGGTACTTGTTTGCTATCGGTCTCGAGCCTGTATTTAGCTTTAGATGAAATTTACCACCCAAAAACTCCGTTTATGGAGCCCCGAGAAAACACCTACATGATATAGAACCCTTATAAATCCCTCAACAATCCCGTAAGGAACCCTTATAACCTAATAAGCCGCTCAAAGAACCCTTATGGACTTCTTCTAGACTTTTCCAAACCCCTTAAGAAACCCTTAAAGAACCCTTAAAAAGAACCCTTAAAAGAACCCTTAAAAGAACCCTTACGAGAACCCTTAAAACAACCCTAACCATTAGAAGAGCCCTGGAGGCGGAAGTTCTCCGAGGCCGAGGCGATGAAGTCCGCTGCCTGGTCCTCCTGGGCCGAAGCAAAGGCGCTGGTGAAGATGGTGCCGGGATCCTGCCAGGGTTTGAGGCTTTTTTTTGGAAGGGGAGGGGGGGTCTAGGGGAAGATGGTGCCTTTCTTTAGGGTAAAGGGGTTAGGGGCAAATGCTGCCAGGTTCTTCATCAGATCCTGCCAGTGCATTAGATTTTATGAGGTCTGTACATGGGTCCTATGTGTTTCAAGATTCAGGGCTCCAGGATTTAGGGCTTCAAATTCTATGAGCGTCCTATTGTAAGCTTCCCCAGAGAACTGTGAGGGCTCATCAACAAGGCCTCCCCCGGCATTTATGAGGTGATGAGGTGAAGGTAGTGTAAGCTCCTCATGAGGTCTTGCGGAACTCTGAACCAGAAAAGGCCAAAACCCCGGCAGATGTACATTGGTGGAGTTTTCTTGCGCCTGCACATTTAGGAGTACAGCTCTGGGCGTGCATCTTGCACCCTGCACTCGATATCTCGCCCTACTCCACATCGACAGTACACGGCATGTCTTGTCACAACACTCCTCCCGGGTCCACTTACCTGAAGCCCTACCCCTAAACTGCAAACCCAGAACATGTCAGCCCTGAGATTTGTAGGTGTTCCTTGTAAAGTTCCAGCCATTATGTTCCGGCCGAAGCTGCCTCATGCGGCGACTATTGTACAGAAGATCCATCGAGATATGTGCGGCAGGGAGTACAGATTGTTCCTCAAGACTTGTTATGTGGCTCCCAGGACTCCCCTGGTTAGCCAGCTCGAGTATCCAGACCCACAGCAGGTCTTTGCAAGGTCAAGGCGATTCCACATACAGAATCGCTGTTTGACTCCAATTCGTAATGATTCTGTAGTGTAGGCTCCAAGTGGTTGCTTCGAGACTGTCCGAGAGACCGCATGCATATACTGCAAACCCTAAACCATGCAAACCCTAAACCACAAATCCAGAAGCTTAAAATCCTGAACACTGAGCCTGCAAGAAAACCCTGGACCCTACGCGCCTAAACCTCAAAGGACTGTAAGCCTACAGAGGAACCTCTCTGGAAACCTCTGTAACAGCAAGCATAGGAACCTTTCTAGAAACCTTCACAGTACAGCGACCCTCATCAGAATCTTTATGGAAAGCCATAGACGTATAGTAAGCCTCATATGGGTGGTTGTCAAAATCATGGTCCCTTTTCGGGTCCCTATTCAATACGGCACCTATTATTTGGGGTACCCCAAAAAGGGACCTTAATTTTGACAACCACCCATATGCACCTGCAAAGGACCCTTATAGAGCGCTAACGGTTGATGATATAAATCCTGCATTACCTTAAGGGCCCTAAACTATGGGAATTATGGTATATTCCTTATTAAGGGTCATGCAGGATTTATATCATCAACCGTAATCACCGTGCCTCCAGCCGTCGGCCGCCAATCTCCAGCGAGTAGCGCCGTGCCACGGTGGTGCGCCGGGCATTCGTTGTCCAGCCTGCTTGGAGGATCATGGGACTTAGTAAGTAAGGTTATAAGTACCCTAATTGTGGTTATAAGTATAGTTACCTTAATTATAACCCTAGTTACTAAGTCCCATGATCCTTTAAGTGGCGGCATCTTTGGGTTTAGGGTTGAGGGTCGTGGGGTTTAGTGGCTTCAGGGATTTAGGGTTTAGGGGCTTGCAGGGTTATCCGCGGTTTCAGGGTTAGGATTCAGGGCTTACGGTTTTGCGTTTTGGGGTCTAGGAAAGCGTGGAGTAAGGTTTGGTCATGTCCAAGCAGAAAGGCGACTCGAAGCAAGCCGAAGCCCCAAAGCCTCAATGTTCAGGTTCAGTGTCTAAAGTTTCGGCGTCCTTGATATCGAATTTCGAATAAAGCATAGTCTACCCTTTTGCCTTTAGGGTTTCGGGGCTGATGCCTTAACCCCAAGCAACCTACCTTTTCAAGGACTTATGTAAAGAAGTCATATTAGGGAACCCTAAAAAGGTAGCTTCCTTAGGGTCCAGGTACGAAAGCACCCGACCCTCAACCCAAGCCCTGAAACCCTAAGCCCTACTGCAGAAGGGACAGCCGAGATCCGAGAGCAAGAAAAAGTTCTAAGCCCAGCACGGTGACCCCTTATACACGGGCCGCAAAAATTGGAATAGGGCTTTGGTGCCCATTATGCCATAGATATCATAAGGAACCCCCCTTATAGGTAATTAATTAGGCCCCTATTGCAACCCTTAATCCCAAAATCCCAAGATGGAATCCTTTTGGAAACTGTTTGGGCCCCCGATGAAACACATCCGGAACCCGCCCAGAAAGAACCCCCAGAAAGAACCCGCACAGGAACCCGTAAAGGAAGTACCCCTGAAAGGCACCAACAGAATCCTTACAGGAACCCTTAAAGGAATTCCACAAGGAGCCCTCGACGGAACCCCTGAAGGAGCCCTCAAAAGAACTCAAAACAGGAACCCTAACAGGAACCCTTGTAGGAACCACGTATTTTGAGGAACCTATAGGGGACCAAGGTCAACCTGGGGTCTACAACAGGGTCCATTTAAAGGCTACAACAGGGTTCTATATTCGGGCCCCCTAAACCCTAAACGCCAAAAAGGAACCGCGCCTGGCATTGCCATGGCTTCTGCCACCTCCCAGCTCCGCCCCTGCCGCAGCTGGAGATCCTGAAAGAGGGTGGTGGTGTGCTCGTAGCCTCAAGAACAGGAAGCTTAGTCAAAGGCTAAGGCTTGCGAAAAGGGTTCTTTTAAAGAGTTGCCATGAGAGTTAGCATATCGGTTGCTGTATGGGTTGCCATGAGGGTTTAGTCGCGGAACCTGAAGGAGGCGAGGTTTTTGGAGCTTAGGATTTGATGGGTTTGAAGCTTCGAGGGCAGAGAGGGTGTTTTTGTTCCATCGTGTGTGAAATTATCCTATCTTCCCACATCATTCGCTTGGTCCTTGTTGTAAATGCAGCTATGTTCTTCTGGCGATGCGTTCATGCTAACTCCTGGCAATGGTGCGTGGTTTTATTGCTATCCTATTCCCATCCAGTCTTGTCAACCGGGCCGCCTCGGAGACTCTTGTATTCCAAGTGTGACTTATGTGATTTCATGCTGGTAGTTTCAGCTTCTGGCTCTCGCAGTTACCAGCAGTCTTACTCCTAGCCAGCGCCAGCTCATGTGGGGCTTTAGTATTGAAGTTATGATTATCACAACAAAATGTTCTGCAACACTCCACAGGTTCCTGCGACTCATTTTTCCCACAACATCATATCAATGTTGCTGTATTTGCTGCTCTTGCCGTCGCTGCGAACGCTCTTCCTGTCGTTACTATTTCTATGTTGCATGTGGACATGGGCAGGGTCTGCTCTTTGAAACACCCGCAATAGTGCTAGTGCTGTTGCCAGTCTTCTCCTGACTCCGTT